GACCACAGACAAGTGCCACCATGCCTGACTAATTTCCTTTTTTCAGAGGTGGGGGTCACCATGTTGCCCAGGCTGGTCTCAAACTCCTTCCTGGGCTCAAGCGATCTTCTAGCCTCAGCCTCCCAAAGTGTTGGGGTGACAGGCATGAGCCACCATAACTGTAAAGTTTCAAATGGCTGTACTTTCTAACAACTGAAGGGCTGACCATCCCTTCTGAAGGTGGAGAGTTTGCCAGTCTTCTACGGGGTCTTGCCAGGGTCTTTTGAGTTAAAGGTCCTCAAGTCACTGGCCCATTGCCTCTGAGCCAGAGGCAGCCTCTCAAAGACTGAGAGGAGACTCAGCAGATGGGGTAGGAGCATGGGGAACATCCCAGAGAGGAACGTTCTCGGATTGGAGACTCTTCCAATCTAAAAAAGAAAGTAAGCGTTCCGACCTGTGCACTGGGGCTCCAGACACTGTGGGTCTTTGGCCACGCACAAACACCTCCCTGCAGTCCCAGTTCCTCACAGGTGACATGAGCTCTGGGCTTGGCCTTGGGAGTCTCAGAGGTGTTTGGGGCCAGATGCATTCCTGTGCTGTCGTAGGGAGGGCAGTGTGGGGTGATCATGCAGCAGCCATGGTGATATGGGTTGGCGAGGATCTGGTGGATGGTCCCTGGATTGTGTTTGCGTGTTGGGGGACATCTGTCTGCAGAGGGGATTTGGAGCTGGGATCCTTTGGGCCTTAACTGTCCTTCCGAGTGGCTGTAGGGACAACTCTTAGACTCACTGTGTCTGCTTTTCTCTCTTCTCAGGGTAAAGTCGAGTATCTGGTGAAGTGGAAAGGATGGCCCCCAAAGTAAGCTCCTTCGTGTGTATCTGTCTGTCTGTCTGTCTACCCATGCATTCCTCCACCTGCCTTTTGCCCCCCCCCCCACCTAGCTATTAGCTTCAGCTGCTCTTGTAACTGAACAGCTGACCTTGATTTAATCATCATCTTCTCTGGGCCTCAGTTTCCCCTTGGACCACAGGAGGGTCAAGGGTCAAGGTGAGTCTCCAATGTCTCCCCTCGCACTGCCTTGCACAGTGTTGAGCACCTCTGCTGGCTGGAGCGTGTCCTCTCCCTCTTGCCCTCCCTCTGGCTTTTCTTGGCAACTGGGAGGTGAAGGCCCAGCATCTAGGCTACTGGAGAGGGCTGCGGGACAGGAGGAGGGGCCCCCAGCCACTTTAAGTACAGTGCTGCCTGAGTCCTCAGTGCTTTGTGGCCAAGGGCAGAGCCTGAATCCCCCTCGCCCCTGGACGGCACTTTCCAGTCTACGGAGCAGGCTCCCATACAGCTTTGTAAGGCAGATGTGATCAAGCTCTCTCAAGGTGAGGAAACAGGCTCAGAGAGGGTAAGCAGCTTGCCTTAGGTCACACAGCAAGTGGAGGCAGAGCTGGGACTTGAACTAGGCCTTCTCCTTTTCAGGTGCCTCCTCTGTGCCTTCCCAGTCTCAGAGCTGGGGAGCAGGGAGCTGCATCTAAGACCTCCCAGCTGCTCCACCTCCCCTGCTGAGGCCCTACCAGGAACCCACCAATGCCTTCTAGCAGGGCATTGTTGGGAGGGGAGGGAATGAGCTAGTCATGGAGCCTCCCCATTGGTCTGTGGGTGCCCCACCCCCGGCCCCACCTCCTGGAAGCTGACTCCTGGGAACCCCCTCTGCCCAGGGCCTCTGCTGCCAGGGACAGGGACTCTGCAGCGCTGGTGGGGGCTGACCTGGTGTGGAGTCCTGTGGCCATTCTGCGGTGATGGTGGGGAGAGACAGAAGAGAGGAAGACAGCCCGCAGTGCCTCAGCTCCCTCTCTGTAATACGGGTTAAGAAACCCAGGCCCTGTACTCATCTCACAGCCTTGGTGGCCCTGTGGGATGAAAGGCCTGGACACATGTTCTGGGTGACCTGTGGGTATCCTGATGACGAGGTTTGGCAGGCAGAGAATACACTCCACCCCTCAAGCCAACCCCCACTCCTGTTCTCCCTTCCCAAATATTCTGAGGGCCGAAGGAAGACCCCCTGCCCCCAGGGCTGCTTAAAGGTGGGCTTCCTGCCTGGGTGAAGGAGGCAGCAAAGGGAGCAATGATGCCCAGAGTGTGCAGCAGGAACACCACCTCCCTGGGCACGCACAGCCCTGCCTCTCACTCTGCACTGGGAAGGTGAGGCATCACAGCCATGGTCACCAGTTGTCAGCCTTCAGGATGCTGTTGGCTATTTTTCCTCCTCTGGAGACTCCACTCTTTGGAAGATTTTCTTCTGTAAGCAGAGTCCATTATGAATGAAAACTTCCTTCCCCCACTTTCATTGATCCTGGATGAGAATCCATCTGCCCACTGCAGCTCATCAGGAGGGAAGGAACCAGGCTCTCAGAGCAAAGGCCCTCGATGCTTCTGTTGCGCGGTACCCCTGGCCCAGGGTCCCATTTGTTTCTTAACATGCTGAGGCCACCAGATGGGCCCTCTTGACTGCCTTGTCACCCCCCTCCACTTTGATCCTGGGTTTTAGGTCTGGCTGCCCACCCGACAGCCATGAGCCCTAGGGCAGGGGCCCACCATGGCTGGGTCTCCGCTTGCTCATCTTCAGATTGGGATAGCGAAGCCTCCTTTGCAGGCTTCTGTGAGGGTGAGGTGGTGGATGTAAGTTAGCAAATGCGTGCTCAGCTCAGTACAAGCGCTTTAGTAAACATTTGGTTTTAAGACTAAGTTAGATAGATAACATAGTTCTTTTTGTTTTTCCCAGTCAGGAAAGGGACCTAGGGGATTCCATTCTTCTTAGGAGCTCAAAATATCCTTAGAAATCATTTAGGCCAGTCCTCTCATTTTTCAGATGGGGAAACTGAGGCCCAGAGATGGGTGGTCCTTACAAGAATATAACTGCCAACCCCATGCCCTATGGTGCCCACTTCATGCCTTGCACAGCGTCACCACAGTCTGGGTGTGAGGCAAATACAGCTGCTAACCATCCCCACCTCACTTGGGAGGTGGAAACAGAAGGTCATGCTGGGGAGAAGCAGGGGAGCCAACTCTGTCTTCCCCTCCTCAGGGGGCCTTGCTTGGAGTAAAAGCTGAGAAGGAGGGTGGGGAGGTGGGGAGTAGGCAGGCTGTATCCTCCAGGCCTGGGAGCCTTGACTGGGCAGTGCCAGCCTGGGTGGGGGGAGTCATTCTCCTGCTCAGCAGCTGCCCTCTGGGTGGGGAGACATATTCCTCTCAGTAACAGGAACCATGATTTAAGTGGACACTGTAGGACAGGCATGGTGGCTCCAGCCTGTAATCCCAGCACTTTGGGAGGCTGAAGCAGGTGGATCATGTGAGGTCAGGAGTTCAAGACCAGCCTGGCCAACATGGCGAAAACCCCATCTCTACCAAAAGTATAAAAAATTAGCCAGGCATGGTGGCACATGCCAGTAATTGCAGCTACTCTGGTGGCTGAGGCAGGAGAGTCACTTGAACCTGGCAGGCGGAGGTTGCAGTGAGCCAAGATTACACCACTGCACTACAGCCTGGAGGACACAGCAAGACTCCATACCTCCCCAACCCCCCAAAAAAAGTGGATGCTCTGTGCAAGGCCCAGGCTAAGCCACTACATGCCTTGCCTGTTTTGTCTCCCCAGCGTGGCAGAGGGGCTCTCTTGCTTCTGGAAAGCACAGCAAATGGCACAGGGAGGGGCTGGGGCACGAGGCAGGGAATGTTACATGGTCAGGTACAGGTGCCGGCTGTGCCTGAGGCCTCAGGATATGATTTCAGCCTGTCTAGGATCCTGCTGCTCCCCCTTCCAGAATGTCTTCCTTTCTTCCCCACTTGTGAACGGTTCTCCATCTTTTTGGAGGAACTGGCTCTGTGGAGTTTTAGGAATGATATCAGTGGTCACAGCCATGGCCAGGCTGTCAGAGAATAAGCCCCTATTGTAAATCAGGGGTTGGTTCATTGAACCACTCATAGCAACCCATTTTACAGATGGAGAGACAGAGCCTACAACAGAGAAGAGGCCTTGCCCAGGGTCATGGAGCTGGGATGATGTGAACTAAGGGCTGCCTGGCCCCAGGGCTTGGGGGCCTACCCCTCTGATGCACAGCAAGCTCCACTAGAGGTGACCAGGACTCTTGTCTACTGGCCTTTTGGCCACTTCAGTGGGAAGTGCTGAGGCTTTCCGCCTCTGAACTCTAGTTGTGATTTACAGCTGAGTGACCCAGGGCAAAGCCCTCAGCCTCTCTGTGCCTCAATTTCCCCACCTATGAAAGAGGCCCTAACCTCATGGGGCCCTGCTGAAGACTGCCTGACACAAGATAAGATTTATTAATACCCTGCCAGGGCAGAATGGGAGCTAGGGCTGTCTCTACCGAGACTGAGGAGCCTGGAGTTAGGGGCCGAGACTTTTCCGCCGCCTGGGTTTTTCATTGATTTCACTCAGGCTTATTTGCCTTCACTGTGTACCACGCTGATGGAAATGTTTTACATGGCTTAATACATCTAATCTTCACCACATCCCTAAAGGGCTAGGATTACTGGTGGGCCTACTTTAGAATGAGGCCCCAGAGCAGTGGAGTCACTTGAACGACGCTGCACCCTGCAGTGTGAACCGGAGCCCATGGTGTTTCTCATAAGGGGCAGCTTTCAGCTGGAGTGGGGACTGGAGCTTGGGGGTTGGCCTGGCTCTGTAGGGTTTCGGGGTGCTTCCACCTGCCCCCAAGGCCGCCTGCGTCACAGCTCAGCAGCGCCCCCTAAGCCCCGCTCCCCCGCGCCCCCCGGGAAAGGCCGGCTGGGGTCGGGGGTCCTGCACCCGCTGCGCCCCTTCCCACTCACGCCCTCACTCTAGCGTGGCAAGCCCTGCGCGGCTGGGCTCGGGCGAGACCGCCGGGGCTTGTTTACCGGGCGTGGGGCGGGGTGGGGCGGTCACGTGGCCGTGTTTATCTCGGAGCCGGCGCGCTCCGTCCCCGTCCCCGCCCCCATGGTTTGCCGGTAATCCTGGCATGCGCCCCGCCCCGTGCGTGCGCGCGGCCGCGGGCTGCGGGGGCGGGCCCTGGGCGCTGCGCCCGCTCCCGCTGTGCGCTCGGTTCTCACCGGCGCCGCTAGCCCAATGCAGTCCCCGTGATCCCCCCGTGTCCACACCGCCGTCTGCTCACCCCAGGCAACGTGCGTGTCCCCAGAGCCCTGGCTCCTTTCCACCCTCTCTCTCCTGGTGTGGGAAGGGTGTCCTGGGACGTACGAGGGCCCGCTCTCCTCCAGATCACCCAAAGGTCTCCGGTGATCGTAGGGTCTAATCCCTTCGATCCGCCGTGCCCACGCTGGTGGCACGCTCCTGGGCTGCTGGCACCTGGCTCTTCGGAAGCGTGTTCCCCGCGGCGCCTCCGGGCTCCTGCACTGCGGAGGGCGCGGCGCGGTGTCCCCTTTACCGGCTGGGTCCAAGCGGTTAACACGCTGGTGCTGCCGCTGCTCTCGCCCCCAACTTGGGGCTGCACCCAGCTGCCAAGTGCGATGGACCATGTTACCTCAGACCCCGCTGCCTGAGCTGGCTACCACCCCTTCCTCCAGCCGAGCCTTCCGGGGCACCCAGAGGCGGCACAACCGGGGGTCCCAGACGCGGTGGCCTGGGAGGAGCCTGAAGGCAGAGAGTGGCCACTGACTGGCTCAATGACCCTGGCTGGCTGGCCAACCTCCTTGTCTCAGTTTCTCCATCTGTAAAATGGGGGTAAGAACTAAGCACCTACCTCACTAGCACCTTTTGAGGATGGGCGCGGTCCCCGCCGCACCTGCTGTTACTGTGTGGTCGTTATTCTTGAGATGAGAAAACGAGTTCAGAAAAGGGTAGGGACCTGCCAGGATCCACACCGCGGGGACCTCAGCAAGCCATGGGCAGGGCGGTGCGTATGCTGTAGAGAGGCTGAAACCCACTATCAGGAGGAGCACAGAATTCCCCTTCCTACCAGTTGGAGCTGAGGCGATTCAGCCTTTTCCGGGGCGAGGAAAGGTTAGAGTGGCTGCCAGCCTCTGGTGGCTTCTGTTGTAGTTTCGCTTTCAGCATTTCTGTAGGAGCTCCCCAGCCCTTCCCAGAGCCCCGGGAGGGCCTGAGCGGGCCACTTTGCAGGGCTCTGCCGGCCAGGGTATCTCGTGGTCCAACCGTGATTATGGCCAGGGCTTGGCGTGGCTGTAAGGAGAGCGGAGGAGGGGCAGGCTCGTCCCGCTGGCAGTGGGACAGCATGGGAGGGATGTCAGGGAAGGCTACAAAGACCTGGCTCTTAAGGGTCCACTAGGAGTTGACTAGACTGATGCGGGCACCCACAGGGAGGGAGGGCCGGCTGGCAGGGGGCACATGGCAAGGGGCGATCCCGGCTCAGGGCTTCACTGTGAGCCCACAGAGTCCTGACACTTAAGTGGGTATGCCAGAGTGTTAGAGGAAGCAAGGAGGCGAGCATCTTGTCCTTATGCAGCTTTTCGGTACTGAGCTAGCGTTAGGTAGTTCCCAGGATGACGTGAGGTAGAGGCCTCAGCTCTAGGTCCTGGGAGGCATCAGGGCAGGGGCTCTCCCAGGCTCCTTCTGCCTTTTAACCCCTTGCTGACACCCATTGCCTTCCATCTTACCTAGCAGAGCCTCTGGGCAGGACTACAGAGCATCGCTTTGCTTTTGTCTGCGTATATTTTATACACAGTCATGAGTAGCTTAATGACAGGGATATACGTTTTGAGAAATGCATTGTTAGGTGATTTCATTGTGTGAATGTCATAGAGTGACCTTACCCACGCCTAAATGGCACAACCTGCTCCACACCTAGGCTGTGTGGTAGAGCCTGCGGTGCCTAGGCTACAAGCCTGCACAGCATATGACTGTACTGAATACATCCAAACATAGAAAAGGTACAGGAAGAACGCAGCGTAAAAGACAAAACTTGGGACACCTTCTAGAGCACTTCCCAGGAACGGAGTTTGCAAGGCTGGAAGTTGCTCTGTCACCCAGATACATGCCACTCACTGTCATTGAGTGAAATATGAAGACCTAGGCTGTTGTAAACATTATACATTTATGCTACACTAACTGATACAGAAATTTTTTTATTTTCTTTTTTTTTTTTTGAGAGACAGAGTCTCACTCTGTCACCAGGTGCCAGGCTGAAGTACAGTGTCTCAATCTCTGCTCACTGCAACCTCCGCCTCCCGGGTTCAAGCAATTCTCCTGCCTCAGCCTCCCGAATAGTTGAGACTACAGGCATACGCTACCACGCCCAGCTAATTTTTGTATTTTTGGTAGAAACGGGGTTTCACCATCTCTTGGATGGTCTCGATCTCTTGACCTCGTGATCCACCTACCTCGGCCTCCCAAAGTGCTGGGATTACAGGCGTGAGCCACCGAGCCCAGCCCAGAAATGTTTTTCTTTAATAATAAATTAATCTAGGCTGGGCACAGTGGCTCACGCCTGTAATCCCAGCACTTTGGGAAGCCCAGGTGGGTGGATCACCTGAGGTCGAGAGTTCAGGCCTAGCCTGGCCAACATAGTGAAACCCGTCTCTACTAAAAATGCAAAAATCAGCCAGGCGTGGTGGAGTGTGCCTGTAATCCCAGCTACTCAGGGGGGCCAAGGCAGGGGAATCTCTTGAACCCGGGAGGCGGAGGTTGCAGTGAGCCGAGATTGTGCCACTGCACTCCAGCCTAGGTGACAAGAGCAAGACCTCGTCTCAAAAAAATAAAATAAAAAATAAATTAACCTGAGCTTATGGTAACTGTTTTACTTTATAAACTTAACTTTTTATCTCTTTCTATAGTAACACTTACCTTAAAACACAAACATGTACAGTCATACAAAATATTTGCTTTATATTCTATAAGCTTTCATCTATTAAAAAAGTTAGTTTCTTTTTTAAAGCTTTTTTAAAATTAAAAAAAATTAATTTTTATTTTTTTGAGATGAAGTTTCATTCTGCTGCCCAGGTCGAGTGCAGTGGCGTGATCTCAGCTCACTGCAACCTCCGCCCCTTGGGTTTAAGCAGTTCTCCCGTCTCAGCCTCCTGAGTAGCTGGGATTACAGGCGCCACCACCACGCCCAGCTAATGTTTGTATTTTTAGTAGAGACAGGGTTTTGCCATGTTGGCCAGGCTGGTCTCAATCTCCCAACCTCAGGTGATCTGCCTGCCTTGGCCTCCCAAAGTGCTTGGATTACAGGCGTGAGCCACCGTGCCTAGCCCCGACTCTGACCATTCATTCCTCTTCCCAGGTACAGCACGTGGGAGCCAGAAGAGCACATCTTGGACCCCCGCCTTGTCATGGCCTACGAGGAGAAGTACGGTGTCCTCGGCGCTGCCGGGTGGGACTTAGGGCCGGCTTGAAGGCTTCCTAGGAGCCTGCTGCTGGCTTGGCAGGAGTTCTTGGGGCAGGGTGGGGGTGTCCGATGGGGTAGGCCAGCCTGGTCTGCAGCTGGGTGAAAGTGGTGAGCACCAAGTCCCAGGGCAATTGAGGACCCTGGGTCCCTGTCCTATCATGGGGTGCTTTTGGTCACTTCCTTTACCCACCCAGGCCTCAGTCCCTCTGCTTTAAAATGGGCCACCCTGAAGAACACTGATTTTGCCAGGGTGAAACCTTAGAGGGGCCCGTAAGAGGTTTCCATTCCAGTGAAGAATGTGAAAACGCTTCACAGATCTCCCCAGTGTGCACTGCTGGTGGTGCTGGAGTGACAGGTCAGAGACAGCGTCTCTAGAGGACCTCTTAGGGCCAGAAGGAGCGTCTGATCAAGCTCAAGGAAGGCTGGGCAGGAGCGTGGCCTTTGGGGCTGGTATTTCTGAGTTCTGGCCTATCTCCCTGCTGCCTCCTGTCCAAGTGGCCTGGGCACAGTCAGTCTCCCACCTCTGCCAGAGCCCCCCAGGGATTCCGAGCATGCCCTGACTGTTCCATGTGCCCTGTTTGGCCGCCCTCCCTGCCAGCAGGCAACCCAGGTTCCCTGCCTCTCCCAGCCCGCCTGTCTTGTGCGGCGTGGGACCATGTCATTTGTGTTTGGCCACTATGGCAACCTCCTGAGGCAGGGATGAGGGTCTTCTTTGACAGAGAAGGAAACTGAGGCTCGAGGAGTCCAGGAGCCTCACAGCAAGGACCTGGCCAGGGCTCCCGCCTCCACGTAGGGGCTTTTCACTGCCCCTTGTTGCTGGGTTCTCATGGCTCCTCCCCCAGGAGGTTTCCTGCCGTGGATTCAAAGGCAAATTTCATTGTTCTTTCCTTTAAAAATCGGTGTCTGGCCAGGCGCGGTGGCTCACACCTGTAATCCCAGCACACTGGGAGGCCAAGGCGGGTGGATCACCTGAGGTCAGGAGATTGAAACCATCCTGGCCAACACGGTGAAACCCTGTCTCTACTAAAAATACAAAAATTAGCTGGGCATGGTGGTGGATGCCTGTAATCCCAGCTACCTGGGAGGCTGAGGCAGGAGAATTGCTTGAACCCAGGAGGTGGAGGTTGCAGTGAGCAGAGATCCTGCCATTGCACCCCAGCCTGGGTGACAGAGAGATTCCATTGCAAAAAAAAAAAAAAAAAATCAGGATGTCCCTGTCCCAGTGTTTCTTTCTGCCTCCCAGGTGTTCGGTAGGGTCTTGGTCCAACAGGGTGCAACACTTGGGAATCCGTGGAGCGTGGGCAGGTATCAAAGGCCCAGATTCCAATCTTCCTCCAGGGTCCTTTCCCTCGGCCCCCAGGTATCCTGCAGGGGATGGATGCTTTGTGGATGTTCAGACATTTGCAGTACATGCCGCAGGTTCACTGGTGTGTGCTGAGCTCAGAGTCAGAGCCTGGCCCAAGGTCACACGACCAGGAAGAGAGAAGGGGTGAGATCCTGGCCTCCACATTCTTTCTGCTGTCCACGTGGCCTCTGTCCTGGGGGCTGCAGAGAGTGTGGGTGGAGAGAACCGAAGCGGGAGGCGGGATGACATGACTTTGACTCTCCCGGCTACTTTTGGCAGTTTGGAGTCTCTGGTTGTGTTGTCTTGCGTGTCATGTGTAGCTTTGTGGCATCGTCAAGTCATGCTTGGTTTTTTTTTTTTTGAGACGGAGTCTCACTCTGTTGCCTAGGCTGGAGTGCAGTGATGCGATCTTGGCTCATGTAACCTCTGCCTCCCAAGCTCAAGCAATTCTCAGCCAGGCGCGGTGGCTCATGTCTGTAATTCCAGCACTTTGGGAGGCCGAGGCAGGCAGATCACCTGAGGTCAGGAGTTCGAGACCAGCCTGGCCAACATAGTGAAACTCCGTCTCTACTAAAAATACAAAAATTAGCTGGGTGTGGTGGTGGGTGCCTGTAATCCCAGCTACTCTGGAGGCTGAGGCAGGAGAATCACTTGAACCTAGGAGGTGGAGGTTGCAGCAGTGAGCAGAGATCGTACCACTGCACTCCAGCCTGGGTGACATATTGAGACTCCATTTAAAAAAAAAAAAACTAAGCAATTCTGCCTCAGCCTCCTGAGTATTTGGGACCACAGGTGTGTACCACCTTGCCTGGCTAATTTTTATATTTTTGCTAGATGGGGTTTCACCGTGTTGCCCAGGCTGGTCTCAAACCCCTGAGCTCAAGTTATCTGCTCACTTCAGCCTCCCAAAGTGCTGGGATTACCGGCATGAGCCACCTCACCCGACCTCAGCTGTGCTTTGTGTGTTTGGTACATGTAAAGGCATCTGCTGGGCATCAGAACAGGCTGATTTTCCTCCTGTCCCCCAACAAGATGGTGCAGACAGGGTAGGAGCCTCTCTGCTCTCCCAGGTTCACAGAGATCCCAAATTTGGGGTCTGTTAGGGCAGCCTGTGCAGAACGTCACTCGCACAGGGACTTGCCATTCCCATCAGCTCCCCTGGGACATTCAAAGCAAATTGGATTGACAGGCTTCTGTATCACTCCTCTAGGAGGAAAAACTGAGCCATGTTTTTTAGGGGGTCCCCAGAGCGGAGCCCTCACATGGCCCTGGAGCCCTAGAAGGACCCACTTGTTTTTCGAGATGCTGCGAGTCCCTGCCTCAGCAGTTGCCCTCCCCATTTGTCAGATGGGAAGACCAAGGCCCTGAGAGCTGAACATGTGACCCCCATTGTTAGGCTTCCAGCCAGGCAATGGGGAGGATGGGTGGGCAGGCCAGTGGGGAGTGTTCGCTCCCTGGCAGACAGCAGAGGACAGGCGAAGCGGACACCTTCCCTTCCCTTAGATGTCACCAGTGTTTCCTTTTCTTCTGCTGCCTGCATCACACCCCAGGGAGGAGAGAGACCGAGCGTCGGGGTATAGGAAGAGAGGTCCGAAACCCAAGCGGCTTCTGCTGCAGGTAACCGGCCTGCTTTTGTGCCTCCTTTCTCCCCCTGTCCAGCCCCCAGTCCCCTTCGGCCCCTTGGCGCATTTACACTGGCTGGTTGAGCTGATCTGTGTCTGCTCCCCTGCACCACCCAGGGCACTGTGGGGTGGGCCACTTGGGTAAGTTTTGATGGGAAGTGTTGGGGAAAGCCTGTGGGGGGGGCTGGTGTCCTGGCAAGACAGACTGAGTGGGAGGTGCCATGGTGAGAGGGAGGGTGGGCCTAGGGCCAGTGGAATCCTAGGATTTTGAAAGCTTAAAATGTTGCTGTAAGGAAGGCTTGAAAGCTTTGAACCTTTTGATGCTCTGAATCTTTAAACACAAAATTATAGTATTTGAGAACCTCAGAAACATAAACGTTAGAATTGAGGAAACATGAGAGACTAGAATTTCAGAATCCAAGAAACAGAATCTTAGATTTGTAGAACTATAGCCTTGAAATGTCAGACTCTTAGAAGTGTGTCATTTTTGAATGGGAAGAAACTTATAGAGCCTCCTCTTCCAACCTTCAGTCAGGTGGGGGCCCGAGTCTCCGCAGCATCTGGCGTGCCTATGTCGTAGGTCTTTGGGGCCTTTGCTAACCTCAGTGCTTTGCAGTGACAGGCCAGTGGAGTGTGGAGCAGCGCAGTCACAGGTTGAATCTCCCTGATCCAAAATCCGAAATTCGGCCAGGTGTGGTGGCTCACGCCTGTAATCCCAACACTTTGGGAAGCCGAGGCAGGCAGATCAGCTGAGGTCAGGAGTTCAAAACCAGCCTGGCCAATGCGGTGAAACCCCGTCTCTGTTGAAAATAGAAAAATTACCCAGGTGTGGTGATGGGCACCTGTAATCCCAGCTTCTCGGGAGGCTGAGACAGGAGAGTTGCTTGAACTCAAGAGGCGGAGGTTGTAGTGAGCCAAGATCATGCCATTGCACTCCAGCCTGAGTGGTAAGACTGAAACTCTGTCCCCCCCAAAAAAAACAAAGTCTGAAATGCTCCACAATCCAAAATACTTTGAGCACCAACATGGTATCCAAAGAAAGTGCTCATTGGAGCATTCTGAATTTCAGATTTTTGGATTGGGGATGCTCAGCTAGTAAATATAATGCAAATATTCCAAACTCCTAAAAAAAATTTGAAGTCCAAAACACTTCTGGTCCCAAGCATTTCAGGTAAGGAATACTCTGCCTGCGTGTGGTTGTAGGCAAGTCTTTTCACCTGTAAAATGGGGGTAAAGAGAATACCCGCTCTCCTTAATGTAGTAAGGCTCCCCAGGCACTGGAAGCCAGAAAGTCAGGATTCATGGTCCACTTGCATGTGGTCCACATCACGTGTCCTGGCCACTCCTGCTTATAGCCCACGGAGGTTTTCACAAGCGTGGGTGGGCCTCCCTTCATGCAGTAGGTGTGTTCCACTGTGTTTGGTGTGAATTGAGCCTAAGAAGGAAAGTAACATCTCCCGGAGGTCTGTATGCCAGGCTCTGTGCTGGTGTGCTTCACCAGTGAACACACTCCACATACTAAGCCCACAGGGCAGGTGTGTTTGTTATCTCTCCCCTTTAACCTGGCAACTTGAAGCAATAACCATTTATGATTTCCCATGGTCTCTGGGGGTCAGGAATTAGGGAGTGCACTGGCTGGTTCTTTAGTGGTTCGAGTTTGGGCAGTAGTCAAGGTGTTGGCTGGGCTGTAGTCAAGGTGTTGGCTGGGCTGTAGTCATCTGTAGGCTTGACCAGGGCTTCAGGATCTGCTTCCAAGGGGGCTGCTCACAGGCTGGCAAGTCAGGGCTGGTCGTTGGCAGGAGCTGTTCCTCATGGCGTGGACCTCTCCAGAGGGCTGCTTGAGTGTGCAGGGAAGAAGCCACAGTGTCTTTTATGTCCTAACCTGGGAAGTCACACACCACAGCACTTGGTGTGGGAAGGGACTGCCCATAGGTGGGAATTCCAGGAGGCGGGGATGGGTGGGGCTCTCCTTGGAGGTTGGCTCCTACAGTCTCTTCACTGTTTCACTGAGAAAGAAACTAAGGCTCAGGGAGGCCGGTAGCTTACCCAGGACGTGACTGTTACCACCTGCGTCCCTTTAATAGCTGCAGTTCTCTTGTGATGAGGTTGCCAAGGAAGAAGAAGCTGCCTTGCAGAATGGCAGAATTTCCTGGGCTTCTTTTTTTTTTTTTTTTTTTTTGAGACAGAGTCTTGCTCTGTCGCCCAGGCTGGAGTGTACTGGTGCCATCTCGGCTCACTGCAACCTCTGCCTCCCAGGTTTAAGTGATTCTCCTGCCTCAGCCTCCCAGGTAGCTGGGATTACAGGTGCCCAGCACCATGCCTGGCTAATTTTTATATTTTTTAGCAGAAATGGGGTTTCACCATGTTGGCCAGGCTGGTCTCAAACTCCTGACCTCAGGTGATCCGTCCATCTCCGCCTCCCAAAGTGCTGGGATTACAGGCATGAGCCACCGTGCCCGGCCTATACTGGGCTTTTGATGGCCTGCGAGCCCGGTGGGAGGAGTGGGTTTTGAGTCAGCTGCCTGCAGGACGGATCTCTCAGCCACTGCAGTGTTTTCCCAGTCCCCTCCCAGTTCAGCCTCCTCCCGTCACTGCAGCAGCCCGCACCTCGGGACATGTGGTGCCGTTAGCAGGCACGACTGTGAGCGGGGCCTGCGTTGTCATCTCTTCCTTCAGCTTAGAGGTGTTTGGCCTCACGGTTCCCATCTAATGGCTGCATTCTCTTCCTGGGATCTCCTGGCCTTTGGTGACAGGTGGCAGGAGAAGGTACTATCCCGGTGATCCAGAGTCTCCCAACATCTTGGCACCATGGATCTTTTGTGGAGTCATGTAAATTTTCCCAAAGTAAATAAGATAAATTCCCAAATTACAAACTTCGGGGGTGGACGGACTTGCCCTCCAGCTCCAGAGGTGTGGCAGGCAGTCAGCAGAGGGAGCCGCATGAGGCAGCTCACAGGGCCCAGGAGCACCCTGGAGGGCTCAGGTGCACCTGCAGCCAGGTGGAGCCCTGTCGCTTTGGCTGGGCGGCACGGGCATGCGATGCTGTGTGTGCCACTTGCTTGACTTTGCCCCAAGCAACTCCAAGGGCACACCCTTTGCCCTCTGCCCTTCACCATCTCCTGGGTGAGCCGGCAGCATCAGTTTTGGAGGTGCTCTGGCAAGCAAAGAGGCCTTTCCTAAAATGAAGGCTAACTCTGTGATGCATTCAGATTTGTTTCTCTTGGTCAGTTTTCAGTTTGTTCTTCTTGTATGCTTCTCTGCTGGGTATGGAAGGAGTAAACCTGTGGCCCCAGCCCCCATCCCTGGGGAGATGAGAGTGCACTATGGGGCCCAGAGGCTGGGCTGAGCTGGCAGAGCCTGGGGCTGCTTGGGGGCCCACTCTCTGGGCTGGAGTTGGGTGGGGTGGGATGGTGGCCGTCCACGGCACAGGGAGGAGTTGGGTGAGCAGATGTGGGAAGGGCACTCCGGGTGGGAAGAACAGCATGAGCAAAGATGTGGTGGGTGGGAGGGCGGGGCTGACCCGCGCTGCCCTGGCTTGCCCCCGCAGCGGCTGTACAGCATGGACCTGCGGAGCTCCCACAAGGCCAAGGGCAAGGAGAAGCTCTGCTTCTCCCTGACCTGCCCGCTCGGCAGCGGGAGCCCTGAGGGGGTGGTCAAGGCGGGGGCACCTGAGCTGGTGGACAAGGGCCCCTTGGTGCCCACCCTGCCCTTCCCACTCCGCAAGCCCCGAAAGGCCCACAAGTACCTGCGGCTCTCACGCAAGAAGTTCCCGCCCCGCGGGCCCAACCTGGAGAGCCACAGCCATCGACGGGAGCTCTTCCTGCAGGAGCAACCGGCCCCAGACGTCCTGCAGGCGGCTGGCGAGTGGGAGCCTGCTGCGCAGCCCCCTGAAGAGGAGGGTAAGGCGGCCCAGGCCCAGAGACCCTCAGAACTGGAAAGGGCCCTATGGGTCATCAGATCCAACTGACTCAATGTCCAAAGAGGGCCCTTAGAGCTTTTCGGGGACAGTCGGGTCTGGGCTCAGTGCCCCGACACTAGCCCAGGGCTCCTCCTGTCTTCCTGTTCCGGATGAGCTCTTGTCTAGGCTGGGAAGATGCCCCCAGGGCCCTCCTCCCAGTGTCCAGTCCTGTGCGAGGCCCTGAGCTGGCTGAAGACGCAGAGAGGAAGACCTGGAGTTGGGGTGGGGTTGGGTGGTCTGCATGGCTTCTCACTTTTCAACGCTGCTCCCATCTGTCTGTCTGTGTCTCACGCTGCAGCAGATGCCGACCTGGCCGAGGGGCCCCCTCCCTGGACACCTGTGCTCCCCCCAAGTGAGGTGACTGTGACGGACATCACCGCCAACTCTATCACCGTCACCTTCCGCGAGGCTCAGGCGGCTGAGGGCTTCTTCCGAGACCGAAGTGGGAAGTTCTGAATCACCATTTTTACTCTTCTTTAAACTGTTTTCTTTTGGGTTTGGGGTGGGACTTCCAGAGATAGGGATGGGTTGGGGGCGGGGTAATTATTTTATTAAAAAAAATACCGAGCAGCAAGAGGGGAGAAGATGCCACCACTCTCCCACCACCCGGCCCTTTTTCTGAGGGACGTTTACCACGCAGCCTCAGGCTGGGGATGGAGAGAGTTGTTCTGGGAGTTGGGGGACCACCCCCAGGGCAGGATGGGGACAGGATGTCCCCTGCCGGTGACACCCCCATCATCATTCTCCTCTAGTGACGCAGCCGCTGGTTCTAGGAGTTAAAGGAGTGTTGGAAGGCCCAAACCCTCTCCCTTGAGCGGCCCACCCCAGCCTGGCTGGCTGTTTTTCCCCTTTATGTTTTGATTGGGTCTTTACCTTGAACTTTCCACTCCAGCTTTGCAGTGGGCTGTGGAGGCTGGTTTCAACGAAAAGTGAGTGCGGCAGGAGAAAGGGGCAGGAGGAAGGGTTGAGGTCGCTTGGGGCAAGTCCCTTCCCCTTCAGAGAGGCTTCTACCCTTCCCAGGGAGGAGGCGCTGCCGAGACCCTTCTGCTGAGAGCTCTGCCCTCCCCTCATCACCTGGCCCATGCAGAAATGCTCACGCACGCCTGGCTACCCAGGTGTGCACACGTTACCCTTCATGTGTACATTCCCATGTGCCCCACGAACGCATGTGGGTCTGCAGACGTGTCCACAGGGGCCTTGTAAAATCTGGTTTAGAAACCCCGGCCAGGGGAACTTGGGCAGTTCATAGCACAGAAGATTACGCCACCACACCCACACTTCCTCCACCTTGCATGCACCTTGCTACTTGATTGCGGCTTTCAGCGGAGGGCAGGGGCCTGGCATGGGTGTGATGGCACCCCAGGCTCCAGGCATGCAGAAGCGGTTTCTAAGCTGCACCGGGCCAGGCTGCGGGTGTGCAGGCATCTGCTAAGTTGTGCAGTGTATCAGCACAGGCTTTCAGACTTCTGGACCCTGTCCTTCCTCCCCTGAGGGGTTCTTGTTCTTTCTGACTCAGGTGACTTTTCAGCCTTCGGATTCCCCTTTTTTTCTGCCCTCCTCTCCAACTCAGCCAGCCCAGGTGTGGGCAGTCAGAGAGGGAGGGAGTGTCCCACCGTGTTCTCAGGGCAGCCCTCGACTCCTACGCCCCTTCCTCCTCCCATTCTGTATCCCCTGCCCATCCAACCTAAATGCCACAGCTGGAGCAGAGCTGTGTTTCTGTGGAGGGACCTCTGCCACGCCTCTCTGAGGTCAGGCTGCCTGTGTGTGATGGGCAGGCTTTGTACCAGCCCATACCCTCGTAAGGGGCACTGTTTTCTGGCTTGTACATGGTGTCTTGGCAGCCAGTGGCTTCTCTGCCAGTGAGGAGTGACTTTCCCTCTTCCAGTCCTGTAGGGGAGAAAAAGCCAGATTGGGGGACCTGAGGGGAGCATGGAAAAGGCCGATTCTCCTGTCTTTCCTTGGCTGTCAGTCAGGGTAACACACACCAAGAGTGGAGTGTGGCCGGTGAGTTTGAAACCTGCCCGCCCTCCCCGAAGCTCTGTGCTGTGTCCTCAGGAAGTCACAGAGTCTCTACGGAGGCAAGGAGAGGGTGATTCTCTCCCAGACCCTGTCTTCCCAGTTCCCAAACCAAAGACCGCCTACAGCCCTTTCTGCCTGGGGCGCTCTGCTGACAGGCTGCCCAGATCCTGAGTCTCTGTCCTTCCTCCTCGATGTTTAGTTGTCCACGGTCAATTCAGTGCTTCCATTGGGGGACAGTCCCCACCAGGGTGACCTGATTCACCTCCAGCCCAGGGAATGGAATCTAGAGGAATATGTGGGGTGGGTCTGGAAAAGGGGCAGCAGGAATCACTACCCGTCTCCAGCTGTGGGGCCCTGTGGAGGGGAAGGGAAAGTTTGGGGTCCCAGGGGAGCTCTTCCAGGAGAGGGGTGCCCAGCGGAGGGGAAGGTGATAGAGGGTTGGTGGGTGGGGGAACCTCTAGTTGAATGTCCTGGCCCATGGCTTTGGAATATGGCTGGCAGCTTCCAGCAGAAGTCAGGCTCCCCATCCCCCAGGTGACATGGGGCCTTTTTCCTGCTTCCTGGTCACTTTCAAACAACTATTTTTGCAATCTATGGGTCTGTGATTTCACGGGGCTTTTTGTGTGAGGGCTGCAGTTGTTTTGTCTGTAGCAGCAGGACGTATCTTTCCCCTTACTCAGCCCTTTATGGCCCATGGGGAACCCCGTGGCTCAGGGAGAGCCGGACTCCAGTGGTGTGACCTGGGATGGGTGGGCCTGAGGTGCCCAGCTCAGGGCAGCCACGTGGCTCATGGGCTGTAGTGAGCGGGCTCCCTGGGGGAAAAGACTGTGGGCCGTTAGGACCATTCCCCAGGACAGGTGACCTCTATGAGGTCACCTGTGGTGTAGCCATGCAGGCCTCCTTCCAGCCCAGAGTGGCCCAGTAGAGCAAGGCAGACAGTGACCTCCACCCCCACAGCCCCCTTAAAAGGCCAGTAATCTTGGGGGTGGGAGGAGGGCTTAGAAAGCATTTGCCCACCTGCCTTTCTTTCCCCGAGCCCCTACCCGCTTTGAATGTAGAGGCCTGTGGGTACTTTCCCTTTTGTGGTGGGGGGTGCGGAGGACATACCCCCACCCCTGGCACGGCCGCCTGGAATGCAGGACCATCACTGCTGTTAGGGTGGTGACCTCGCTGCCAGTCTCCTCCTCTCCCTGTGTTCCAGGGGCAGGCGCTGTGCTTCTGTGAGGTGGTTTAGCTTTTGCTTTATAAGTGGCCAGACGCGGCCACCGGGTCTCAGCACAAGAGCGCTTCCTTTGCACAGAATGAGCTTTGAGCTTTGTTCAGACTAAATGAATGTATCTGGGAGGGGTCGGGGGCACGAGTTGATTCCAAGCACATGCCTTTGCCGAGTGTGTGTGTGCTGGGAGAGTCAGAGTGGATGTAGAGCGCGGTTTTATTTTTGTACTGACATTGGTAAGAGACTGTATAGCATCTATTTATTTAGATGATTTATCTGGTAAATGAGGCAAAAAATTATTAAAAATACATTAAAGGTGATAAAAAGTAAAGAAAGTTCCTGGGCATTTGATCATTCCTTCTGGTTTCGTCCCCACTGTGCCGAGGAGAGCCCTCCAGACCCTGGTGACACCACTGTGCCGAGGAGAGCACCCCAGACCCTGGTGACACCAGTCCGCCAGTCACTGACCGTGATCTCAGACAAGCCTTTCCATCTGCTAAGCCCCCAGAGGGACAGTGAATTAACTGAGGTGATGGGAACAGGAAATGGGGGGTGAGGGTGTCTCTGGGTGAGGCCATTGCCGTGGTCTGTAGCGTGTCGTCAGAGACCTGGAGTGCCTCTGGCACCTTTTCTCTGCTTCCCCCCAGAATCCTCTGTTCCAGACCTTGTGTCGGTAAGCATTCTGGGTCTCTGCAACTGCAGGTTCTGGATCACAAAGCTGTCGTTGGGCTAATGCTCACCTACTGTGTGTTCAGCCAAGCTTAGCACATGTCTGAACGCTGAGACAGTTGGTCAGCCAAGGGCAAGTCCTGGGAGCACGTCTGCATTTGAGTGCATCACAGGCTGTAGGACAGAGGCTGGGCCGGAGCAGACAGGACTGATGGTGGGGAAAAAGAGTTAAGAGGCTGTTGCATCCCAGCACTTGGCCAAGGTGGGTGGATCACCTGACGTCAGGAGTTCGAGACCAGCCTGGCCAACATGGCAAAACCCTGTCTCTACTAAAAATACAAAAATTAGGCAGGCGTGGTGGTGGGTACCTGTAATCCCAGCTACTTGGGAGGCTGAGGCAGGACGATCACTTGGACCCAGGAGGTGGAGGTTGCAGTGAGCCAAGATTGTACCATTGCACCCCAGCCTGGGCAACAAGAGTGAAACTCTGTCTCAAAAAAAAAAAAAAAAAGAATATGCTTGGGTATCCAGTTTGGACAACTGGGTAGGCAGAGATCTGGATGGAGGATGAAGGAGAAGAAGCAGATTCTGAAGTATCTTGACTTGGTCACCCCTAAAAGCAGAGCCTGGGACAATTTTCTGGGCAGGGAGTTTATTTGGGAGGTGATCCAAGGGGCAGGGATTAGGGGCTAAAGAGAGTGGCATACAAGAGTGTATTGCTGAGGTCACTGTTACAGGGAACTGGGGTATGATTCTGCCTGAGATGACCTGAGAGGTATACAAATGCCTCCCTGAATTGGCCACTCCCAGTGGGAGGGGTGGAGTCTAGTGCATGCGCACAATGCCTCCCCGGTGGAGAGTTGACCCTGGATGTGCTAATCCTCATCCCCCAACTTCCAAGCACTGTTGATGCCAGCTTTCACCCATCTGCTGTGTTGGAAGAGCCCAGGGTAGAAAGTGAAGACATGCTGGCAGTCAGAACCCACAGGGAGTCGTCCACCCCATCCGCAGCTGAAATCAGAGATGAGGCCGAGAGATGGTTGCCCAAGAGGGGCACCTGCAGCTACCAACGGGCACAGAGGCACCAAGAGATGCCTCAGGGACTGCCCTGACGTCCAGATAGACCCCTGTTTGCCCACAGCATGTATCAGCAACTCACATCTCAGGGTGATCAAGGTCAGGAAACCTCATCAATTTACAAATTTTTTTCTTCTTGCCTGCCTATCTACTAGTCCTAGGAGCCCAAAGCGACTGGGTCATAGTTGTAGCCTCAGTTTCTGCGTTCCTTACGCGTCCCCTGGTAGATGTGCTTTCTGTCCTGGAAACAGGGGCCTCTGCTCTGCCAGGTCTCAGTCCCAGTGGGCAGGAGCACAAGTTCTGCAAGGAGTTGAGAAGGGCCTGCCCAGCTTCCACACCTTGGTTCTCCCTGGGGCATCACTGGCTCAGTGTATGTATTAAGTCCAGGCGGCCGGGCGCAGTGGCTCACGCTTGTAATCCCCGCACTCTGGGAGGTCGAGACAGGCAGATCACAAGGTTAGGAGATCAAGACCAGCCTGGTTAACACAGTGAAACTCTATCTCTACTTAAAATACAAAAAATTATCCTGGTGTGGTGGCATGCGCCTGTAGTGCTGGCTACTCTAGAGGCTGAGGCAGGAGAATTGCTTGAACCTGGGAGGCAGAGGCTGCAGTGAGCTGAGATCACACCACTTCACTCCAGCTTGGGTAACAGAGCGAGACTTTGTCTCAAAAAAAAAAAAAAAAATCCAGGGGGACAGCACCCCAGTCCTGCAGAGTGAGCTGATGCTTTAGCTGGGCTTCAGTGGGCAGTGCCCTGGTTCTGCGAGGCGAGCAGTTTCCGACAGCACGGTTATAACAGCAGATCCCATGGGCAAACACGCCATTGCGCTTGCTTCCCTAGGAAGTGTGTTCCTCCATCTAAAGATGTGTTCTGGGGGAATGCTGTTGGTCAGTCAGGCCTTTCGCAGCCCTTCAGATTGTGGTGGTGGTATGGACACTGTGGACAAGGAAGGCAAACCCACGTCCTGACTGAGGGGTGAAGTCTGGTAAGTGTGAATCGCTGACCCCTCCAGAGGGAAAGGAGTCCAGTGTAATCAACTTGCCGTGACATTTCTGGCCGATGATCTCTGGGAGGGATGACACCACGTCAGGGCTCACCCTCAGTGTCTGCCTTTGACAAGTTGGATGTTCTTTGGCCGCAGAACTAGGCTTAGGACCAGCTTTGTGTTTTTTTTTAGTAGAGACAGGGTTTCACCATGTTGGTCAGGGTGGTCTCAAACTCCTGACCTCGTGGTCCACCCACTTCAGCCTCCCAAAGTGCCATGAGCCACCACTGCGCCCGGCAGGACCAGCTTTGTGAGGAATCCTGTGCTGACGGGCCTGCTCATAGCCTGCGTGTCTCCCACCGCGGCCATTTCTACAGTGGGCTTATGGTGCAGGCACCAGTGTGGCAAGGACAGAGGCTGGCTGTCATGCACTGCAGAGGATAGAGGGGGAGATGACTGTCCTCTCCTCTTGCGTTCCAGTCTCCTCTATGATGAGTGCTCTCTGGTCCACACAAACCTAAGAAGAGAACGTGGTCAGAGGCGGGCCCTCTGGTCTCATGCAGTAAATCCAGCTGGGCGCGGTGGCTTACACCTGTAGTCCCAGCACTTTGGGAGGCTGAAGCAGGAGGACTACTTGAGCCCGGGAGTTTGAGATCAACCTGGGCAACATGACTAAGCCTGCTCTCTACAAAAAAATACAAAAATTAGCTGGGCATGGTGGCACCCACCTGTAGTCCCAGCTACTCAGGAGACTGAGGTGGGAGGATCACTTGAGGCCAGAAGTTTGAGGCTGTAGTGGGCCAGGATCCTACCACTGGACTCCAGCCTGGGTGACAGAGCCAGACCCTATCCCAAAAAAATAATAAAATAAAACAAGTCCAAAATTTCCACCAACTTGAGCTTTCTGACTCCTCCCTCAAAACTTACAAGGCTCTGTTAGCATCTGTTATGGCTGCCTGCAGAGGAAGATGGACCGCCTCTCCACTGCATCCAAAATTTGGTCCACATGTTGAGAGCCTTCCCTCCAAGCTCAGAAGGAACCAACCCTACTGGCTGATGATGCTACATACACTCAAGAACCTGAGAGTGTTGGCTGAGTCGCATACATGATTGAGGTCTCTGGGGGGAGCAGGGCAGGCCCCTCGAGCAGTTGCAAAAATGGCCTGAGAGAGCCAGGACAAGGGGCTGGCTTCCGTGTTTGCTGTGGTTAGGGGCTAAGGGTTTCTGTGCCTAGGCGGGAGCATGTGTGGTTTCAAAATCCTGGGCACCCCAGCGAGGTACAGTGGCTCATGCCTGTAATCCCTGCACTTTGAGAGACTGAGGCAGGTGGATCACAAGGTCAGGAGTTCGAGACCAGCCTGGCCAATATGACAAAACCCCATCTCTACTGAAAATACAAAAATTAGCCAGGCATAGTGGCAGGTGCCTGTAAACGCAGCTGCTGGGAGGCTGAGGGATGAGAACCACTTGAACTCAAGAGGTGGAGGTTGCTGTCTGGTGGGGGATCCAGTTCTAAGTCCCATCCTGAAGATTGGCTTTCAGGGTCCATGTCCAATGCCTCTGTTTTCAGTCTCTGTTAGGGGTTGAACTGTGTCCCTCTGAAATTCCCATGTCGAAGTCCTAACTCCCAGCACCTCCGGGTGTGGCTTTATTTGGAGATGAGACTTCACAGAGGTGATCAAGTTAAAATGAGGTCATTGGGGTGGTTCCTAATCCACTATGTCTCACGTCCTTATAAAAAGGGGGGATTTGGGTCAGGCTCATGCCTATAATCCCAGCAGTTTGGGAAGCCAAGGCGGGCAGGAGAATCGCTTGAACCGAGGAGGCGAAGATTGCAGTGAACCAAGATTGCACCACTGTACTCCAGCCTAGGCAACAAGATCAAGACTCTGTATTTAAAAAAAAAAAAAAAAAAAAGTAATGGCTTCAGTATTTTAATGAATTAGGTATTTTTAGATTTCTCAGTTTTCATTTCATATATGTATGTATGTGTGTGTGTGTATATATATATATATATATATATATATATTTTTTTTTTTTTTTTTTGAGTCAGAGTCTCGAACTGTCACCCAGGCTGGAGTGTAATGGCATCTGGCACAATAGATTTTTTAATAGTTGCTTTATTCAAGATATTTCTGTGCATGGAGAGGAATACTTATTAGTTTTGGAACTTTATTGCCCAATCTATTTAATTAATATAACTCTGAAAATCAATTTTCCTTAAGCATTTAAGCATTGTTAATTTGACGTATTATAAGTCTAGATTGATTCTTTTGAACACTCCAGACATCTTCACTAGCAGCCCAGACATACACAAATACAGTATTTGAGACTGACTGAGATGGCGGGATCTGAGCAATCTGATGATTGATTCTTTTTTTTTTTTTTTTCTTTTTCTGATGATTGATTCTTTACAGGGATGCACAAACCAGGGAGATTTAAATGGGGACCTTTCATCATTAGGCCAAGTCTCTTTAAATCACTGTAACAATGTTGATTTGTGGCATCCGGGACCAAGTTTCTCTTTGTTATAGAGGTGCTTTTGGGGTACCTGTCAGAGTGGAGGAAAAAGATGTGCAGCCACTAGAGGGCCCCTAAAAT